TTTTTGTTTTTCTTGAGCTGCTCTCAGGATTCCTTGTTTGTCTTTGGTTTCAGTGAGTATGATTATGATATGCCTTGGTGATATTTTTGGGGGGTCTGTCCTATATGGGGTTCATTGAGCTGTTTGGATGGTCAGCTTTTCATCTTTCATGATATTGGGGAAGTTTTCTGTCAGCAGATCTTCAGTGATCCTCTCTGTGTTTTCTGTTTTCTCCCCCTGTTCTGGAACTCCAGTCACTCATAGATTTTTGCTTTTGATAATTCTCAGGGTTTCTTCATTTTTCTTTGTTCTTTTTTCTGATTTTTCCTCAGAGTTGTATCCAAGTGTTTTTCTTCAGTTTCTCTGATTCTGTCTTCCATCATTTCAAACCTGCTCCTCAGATCTTCTATGACACTGTCCATTTTTGAAATCTTGTTTATCTTTTGGATTTCTAATTGTTGTTTTTGTATGATTTCTAGTTGTGAATTTATTTTGGCATTTTGTTCCTGTACTATTTCCTTGAATTCTTCCATTTTTTTTTGTCTGTATTTTCCATGAATTTGTCTGCATTTCCATGAATTTGTCTATTTTTTCCTCATTTTTGTCTGTTTTTTGCTTCAACTGTTGGATAATTCTGAATATTAGAGATTTGAATTCCCTATCAGTTAGGTCTAGTGCCTTTTCTTCTACTGGAGTTTTATTTTGGATGCCTACTGGAACCATCCTGTTCTGTTTTTGTAAATGTTTTGATATTGTCTGCTGTCTTCGGGACATTCAGTGGTTATTTTCCTTGCTTATTGATTGTAGATTTGTTTGTTTCGTCCTGCTTTTTTGTTTTATTTGGTTATGTGTGAGAAGTCCAGCTGTGCGTTCTTTGTTATTTGCTCTTCTGTGGGTGCAATACTTTACACCTCCTTCTCCAATGTGCAGGGTCAGTCACTCAGGTATGGTACAGCAGGGTAGGTCCAGCTGAAGGGGAGTTGCTGGGATAGGTTTTTTTGTGGCACGTACCAGGGCTGAAAGTGCAGACTGGGAATCAGTGCAGGGCAGGTTCCAGTAGGCCATGCCTGTGCTGCTTGGGAGTGTGATGTTCAGCACATGGTGCACGTAGGCAGGAAGGAGGGTGCAGATTGTGATGTGTGGAGCTAAGATGGGTATGGGAAAGATGAGAGAGAGGAGAGAGGAACAGGAGCCAAAAACATACACACAAACAAAAAAGAGTGCTAAGTGAGCTTGCTATTGGAGTGGAGAGATGAGAGACTGAGAAATGGGGGAAAAAAACATAAGAAAAAAAAGGGTAATGGAAAAAAATGAATAAATTGAGAAACTGGAAGTGAAGAAAGACAAAAAGGGAATAAAAGAGAGAAGAAAACTAAAGAAAGAAATGGGGGGGAAAAAAACAACCAAAAACAAACAAACAAAAAAAGGGGAAAAAAAATAAGAAAAAAGAAAGAAACGCCCCCAGGGATATCCCTGTGCGTCTGCGCAGAGTAAGGGACTAGCTACCAAGCCACATGGTACTGCCTGGCTAGAAGGGGCTCCCAAGCCAAGAAAAGAAAAAGAAAACAAACAAACAAATCAAAACAGAACAAATCAGAGCAAACAAACAAACAAAAAGCCCCAGGGGTCCCAGCAGCATGGGGGCATGGGCTGGGAAGCAGTTTCACAGTCGAGCAGTGTTTTGCAGCCTTTCAGGAAGAAGCAAAAATGGCGCACGGAGACAGGTATTTGAGAGAAAGGAGGGGGAGGTGGTGAGAGGTAAGGAAGAAATCTAAAGAAGTGGAAAAAAGCAACACCAGCAACCAACAAATGGCACTCTGGGAGCTGGCCAGTGCGGGCGGGTGGAATCCAAGTGGCACTGGGGGGAAGCTTGCGCTTCCCAGCCAAGAGACTGTGGCTACAGGAAGAAGAGGAGGCTAAGCTGGGGAGAAGAAGGGTGGGGAGTGGGAAAGCCTGTATCGTGGGTTACCCGTTGTTCTGTCTCCTGCTGGAAGCTCCATGAAGCTGCTTTCTCGTACCTCCTGTTCGCTGATCTCTGATAGGAGTCCAAGATGGCGGATCTGTGCTGTGGTAGCTGATAGCGAACCTCTGTATGTATCTCTCCTCACGCTCTGTTCTCAGTCAGTTTCTTATTCCATTCGGTGCTTGGCTGAGTTCTTTATCTCTTCATTTGTTGCTTAGGGTTTCAGGATTGACATGTGACTCTGTTTGACTTAGTTTTTCTGATCTTTGCTGCGGAGGGATGGTGTGGTGCTTCTGACTACAGTGCCTTGTTGCCTGGAACTATTTCTAGCTTTTTGAGGAAGCACCTGTATTATTTTCCAAAATGGTTGTACCACTTTACATTCCCACCAGCAGTGCATAAGAGTTCCAATCTCCCTGCAGCCTCTCCAACATTTGTTATTTTCTGTTTTTTTGATTCGTGCCAGTAATACCGAGATGAGATGGTATCTCATTGTGGTTTTGATTTGCATTTCTGTAATGGCTAGTGATCACAAGCATTTCCTCATGTGTCTGATAGATGCCTGAATGTCTTCCTTGGTGAAGTGTCTGTTTATATCCTTTGCCATTTTTTAATTGGATTATTTGTCTTTTTGTTGTAGAGGTGTTAGATTTTCCTATCAGTTTTAGAGATTATATCCTTGTCAGATTTGTCATAGCCAAACATTTTTTCCCAGTCTGTAGATTCTCTTTTTACTCTTTTTGTGAAGTCTTTTGATGAGCGTAAGTGTTTAATTTTTAGAAGATCCCTGTTATCTAGGTTATCTTCTGATGTTTGTGTGTTGTTAGTTATGGAGCCATGGTGGCACAGTGATTAACAGCTTGCCTGCTAATGAAAAGGTTGGGAGTTCAAATTCACCAGCCACTCCTTGGAAACCCTATGGGGCAGTTTTACTCTGTTCTATAAGGTTTCTATGAGTTGGAATCGACTCGATGGCAATGGGGTTTACTGTTGACCGTATTTTTTCTTCTATGATCTTTATAGTTTTTGGTTTTATATTTAGGTCTTTGATCCATTTTGAATTAGTTTTTGTGTATGGTGTGAGGTATGGGTCTTGTTTCATTTTGGAGAGTAACCATTTTATTGAGATATAGTTCACATACCAAGCAATTAACTAATTTAAAGTGCACAATTCAGTGGTTTTTACTATACTCACAGAGTTGTGCAACCATCACCATGATCAATTTTAGAACATTTTCATCACCCTAAAAAGAAACTTTGTACCCATTAGCAGTCATACTCCATCGCCCAAACTCTCTTCAGCCCTAAGCACCACTAATCTACTTTCTGTTTCTATGAATTTGCCTTTTCTGTATGTTTTATATAAGTGGAATCATACAATATGTGGTCTTTTGTGCCTGGCTTCTTTCACTTACCCACTGCTGTCGAGTCAATTCTGACTCATAGCAACTCCATAGGGTTTCCAAGGCTGTAAATCTCTATGGAAGCCAACCGCCACATCTCTCTCCTGCGGAGCTGCTGGTGGTTTCAAACCACCAACCTCTTGGGTAGCAGTTTATCGCTTTTAACCACTGCACCAAGGTTCATCCATGTTGTAGCATGTATCAATATTTGTTCCTTTTTATTTTATCCCATTGTATCCCATATCCTATTTTGTTTATCCATACATCTGTTGATGGACATTTTGGTTGTTTCCACTTTCTGGCTATTATGAAAAACGCTTCCACGAACATGCACGTACAAGTTTTTTGAGGACATATGTTTTCATTTCTCTTGGGTATATACATAGAAGTGGAATAACTGAATTATATCATAGCTCTAGGATTAACTTTATGAAGAATTGGCAAACTATTTCAAAGTTTGGTTCCAAACTTTGGTTCCAAAGTAGCTGCACCATTTTACATTCCCACCAACAATTTCTCCACATCCTCACCAACACTTGTTATCTTCTGTTTTATTATTATTATTATTATTATAGCCACCCTAGTGAGTGTGAGGTAGAATCTCATTGTGGTTTTGATTTGCATTTCCCTGATGACTAATGACATGGAGCATTTTTTCATGTGCTTATTACCTGTCTTAGTTGTCTAGTGCTGCTATAACAGAAATATTGCAAGTGGATGTCTTTAAGAAACAGAAGTTTATTCTCTCACAATTTAGGAGGCCAGAAGTCCGAATTCAGGGTGCCAGCTCTAGGGGAAGAATTTCTTTCTCTGTCAGTTCTTGGGGAAGGTCCTTGTCATCAATCTTTCACTGGTCTAGGAGCTTCGCAGCATAGGGACCCAGAGTCTGAAGGACGTGCTGTGCTCCTGGTCCTACTTTCTTGTTAGTATGAGATCCCTCTGTCTCTCTGCTTGCTTCTCTCTTTTATATCTTAAAAGAGATTGACTCAAGATACAGCCTAATCTTGCAGATTGATTCCGGCCTCATTAAAGTAACTGCTGCTAATCCCACCTCATTAACATCATAAAGGTAGGATCTACAGCACAGGAAAATCACATCAGATGACAATATGGTGGACAATCACACAATAATGGGAATCATGGTGTAGTTGACACATATTTTGGCGGGACACAATTCAATCCATAAAATTACTCATTTATGTATCTTCCTTGGAGAAATATCCGTTGGAATCTTTCAGCCATGTTTTGTTAGAGTTATTTGTCTTTTTAGTACTGAAGTGTAGGAGTTCTTTGTGTATTATGGATACTAGTCCCTTATCGGAGCCCTGGTGGCATAGTGTTTAAGAACTCGGCTGCTAACCAAAAGGTTAGCAGTTCAAATCCACCAGCTGCTCCTTGGAAACCCTACGGGGTAGTTCTACTCTGTCCTATAGGTTCGCTATGAGTCAGAATCTACGCGACAGCATCAGCAACAACAACAACAACGGTCCCTTATCAGATATATGATTTGCAATTTTTTTTCCTATTCTGTGAATTATCTTTTCACTTTCTTAATGGTGACCTTTGAAGCACAACAGTTTTTAATTTTGATGAAGTCGAATTTATCTATTTTGTCTTTTGTTGCTTGTGCTAAGCTTCACTCGCTCTACCTATTAGGTGATCGATCCTAGGGGTGCCTCAACCCTCCCCCCCTCACCCTGAAAGCATTTGAGGTACTCCCCTGTTCCAGGGTGGGGAAGCTGTGCCTAAGCCTAAGAGAGGCGCTAGGCATCACCTCGCTCCCCACCCCGCCCCCAGCAAACAGTGGGGAGAGGGGAGTGTGCCGCCTTCTTCTCAAGGTGGCCCCTGTGGCAGCCCTTCGGCCTCTCAGTGGACACCCATCCCTGTCACTGCAGCTGTGGGAAGGCTGCATGGCCCCTTTGTAGCACTAGGTGCACCTCCCTCATCCAGGTGCTGCTGCCCCTCACAGGCACCTGCAGGCAGATGTGGGAGAACCAGGCTCCCTGTCCCCACACCCTCCCTTAACTTGACCTCCCCAGACCCCATACCAGATCTTACAGATGTGCGCAGAGTGCTCCACTGAAAGGTGCCAGTGGTCGTGGAATCCACCCCGACTCCTGGCGACCTCATGTGTGTCAGAGAAGAACTGTGCTCCACAGGGTTTTCAAAGATTGATTTCTGGAAGTAGACCCCAGGCCTTCTTCCAAGGCGCCTTTGGGGGGAGTTAAACCTCCAACCTTTCAGTTAGCAGCTGAGCATGTTAACCCTTTGCACCACCCAAGGTCTCTTCAGAGAACCAAGTGGTGTTTAATGTCTTCCTCTTTCCCTTTGGGCCCCCAGGAAGAGGAAAGTAGCCATAACACCCTTCTTGGTTCCACAGGGGGTTTTAAAGTAGCCTTTTCTGCAAGGACTGGCCCAGTCCTCAGCCGAGGGCCACCCAGAGGAGGGCACACAGAGTCCCCAGAGACCCTCTGGGCACAGATGAGGCAGGAGGGCCGTGCTCTCTGTCCTATCTGGAGACAGCATCAGGCGCCAGGTTTCGGCAGCAGTCCAAGCAGGAGTTGTGGCAGAAGGAGACAGGGCTTCTTTAAGCTCTCCTCCCACGTCTTTTCTCAGTTATCACACTACTGTAAAACTAGATTGCCCCTTGAACGAACGCATCACTTGCTGTCTCGATAGTGGATTTCTGAGTGTATCTGACAGTGACAGGGACGGCTGCGACTGAGCACATGTTGGGGGTGGACTCACTCTCCTCCGTGGGTCCTCTGGGCCTGAGTGGCTGAAGTCCCTGCACCCAGAGAGTGCCGTGTCTGGTGGAGGAGGTGGACAAGCAATGAGATCATCACTGAACCAAGTGGGAGAGGAAAGCATGAGGGGGTCCCAGAGGGACACCTACCCTCACCTGCAGGCTGCAGGTAGCTTCCTGGGATGGGGACATCTGAGCCTGGTCTGGAGGAACAAGTAGGAGTTGGCCCGGGTAGTTGAAGGAGGAAAGGGCAGGGGACCAGCTTGGGTAGAGGCCTGGAGGTGTGGGGAAGCAGAGACCTTTTGGGAGGTGAGTTGGTGTGTGTGCAGTGCAGGCAGTCGGTGCCTGGAGGAGAGGAGAGTGGAGGACAAAGGTGTTGAGATGTGACAGTGAGTATTAAAGAAAGCGTGTTGAGCAGGGAGATGACATGGCAAATAGGGGTGTTGGAAGGTCCCCTGGCAGTGGCATGGAGAGTAGGTGGGACAGAGAGGCTGGAGGTGGAGGATGTTAGGTGACTATTACAGTAATTCAGGCAAAAGGAATGACAGCAGCTTGGTTGAGGGAAGTTATAGTGGCCTGGAGAGTTGCAGTGGATATAGGGACGTGCAGATGGTAGTGCTGACAAGACGTGGTGCTGGGCGAGGTGATGGGTAGATGTGGCCCCAGTGATGGGGACAGGGGGAGCTCAGGAGGCTGGCTTCCCATGGACCCACTGTGTGAGGTTCCTGCAGGGCACCCTGATACGGTAGGCTCCCGTTTTCCCCAGGAGCCCAGTGACGGGGTGATGGCTGAGGTGTTTGGGGGTGGGGCTCTGCTTTCCCCGCAGGCTTCCTGGAGAAGAATCGAGATGTGTTGAGCACAGATATCCTGACCCTGGTTCACTCCTCCAAAAACAAGTTCCTGAAAGAGATCTTCAAGCTGGAGGCTACAGAGACCAAGCTGGGCAGTGGGACCATCCACCTGGCCAGGGGCCAGCTCTTCAAGGTGGGCGCCTTTCAGCTGCCTCCTGGGTCTCTCACGCCTGGGGCCGTGGGATCAGATAGCTGTACCCAAGGAGGATGCGTTCCCCGGATCAGGGCAAGAAGGGAGTGGAAACAGAGGAGAGGTGTTGCTGTTACCACATGGGCAGTTGCAAGGGCACAGGGACATGCATGTGCCTGCTTCCAAGTGTGTGGTGTGGCTTGTAAAAGTGTGTTTTCTTTCATTAACATTGTTTTTTTTACGTTTCCATGTTGGTGTGTGAGTGAGGCTGTATGTGACTGTGTGTGTGTGAATGTGTGGTGTGAGCATATGTGGTGTAAGTGTGCATGTGTGAGTGTGTGTTGTGGCGGCTGGCTGGAAGATGGGGAATCCAGGAAGGTGGGAAGCAGAGCCCGTGGTGCTCCTCAGGGAAGCCTGGGATTCCCTGACCCCTTACTGGTGACTGTATCCACAAAGCCAGTGAATCATCTGATAGAAACCCCCGACCCCTGGGCGGGGAGAGGGACCGGGCAAAGCGGCACAGGAGTTGTGATACAGGCAAGGACCTCCCCTCTGTGCAATGCCTTCAGCACTTGCCACAACTTCATCTCTCCCCTCCCCCACCTCTGTGGGAGTGCCGAGGCCCTTGGGGCTCAAGGCACAGCTTCACACTGAGCAGAGCAGGACTGGGGTGGGGGCACCAAGGGGTTGCACGCGCTGGGCAGGGAGGGCTCAGATGTGGAGTGGTTCAGGGACCATGAGTTCACAGAGGGTAGTGGAGCGGAAGCTCTGGGTCAAATGAGTTTTAGAAAGGACAGATAAAGTTACGCAGGTCCCTTTACCTCAGACATCTCAGGCCTTGAAAGTGTGAATTCATTGTGAATCTCCACAATGAGAGATTGTAAATACACCATTCTTACACCACCACATGGGAACAATGCTGTCTGCTGTTACTGTAAAGTGCAGAGATGACATCCTGTCCTCACCAGGGTTAAGACATGAAGACCTGTGTCTCAGGGTTAATATAACTTGGCGGTATACACCTCTGCCCAGAGCATCTGACTCGGAAAGGCTTGGTCACAAGCATTTCTTGAGATCAGCGTCACACAAAACTCATGCTGCTCCAGGCCGAGGGCTTGGGCTTTTTTTAAAATTCTTGCATCCATAATTTTGATGCATTTATTTAAAAACTATATACATTTATTGGTGGTGGTTGCTGTCCATTTATTGGTGTTGGTGGTTGCTGTAGACTGAATGCGGACTCATGGCAACCCCACAAGGCAGAGTATAACTCCTCCACAGGGTTTTCAAGGCTGTGACCTTTTAGAAGCAGAAGGACAGGCCTGCCTTCCAAGGTGCCTTTGGGTGGATTTGACCCACCAAGCTTTTGGTTAGTAGACAAGCAGTTAATCGTTTGTGTCACCCAGGGAACCCATACATTGATTGATGTGTTGTTGTTGTTGTGTGCTGTCGAGTCGATTCTGACTCATAGTGACCCTATATGACAGAGCAGAACTGCCCCACAGGGTTTTCTAGGCTAAATTTTTTATGAAAGCAGATTGCCAGGTTCTAACATTCTCTTCTCTTCCCACTTTGGAGACCCCACATCTAGACAGGATGCCTTGCCCATCTCACTTACCTCTGGGTCCCCAGTACCCAGCTCGGGGGCTGCACACAGTAGGCACTTGGGAAGTGTGTGATGGGTGGATGAACAGAATAGTACACGCCACTGGGTCTGTATAGCCTTGGCATTTACCTTGTGTGGGCTGTGGGTCAGCCGTGTCCCTAGGCTGAGGCTCCCCAGCTGCTCCACTGTGCCCTTGCTTCTGCCCACAGTCTACAGAGCCCACCAAGCAGCGCTCCACCCTGGCAGGCCAGTTCAAGCAATCCCTGGACCAGCTGATGAAAATCCTGACCAGCTGCCAGCCCTACTTCATCCGCTGCATCAAACCCAACGACTACAAGAAACCGCTGGTAACAAGGGCAAGGGATGGGGGAGAGGGCTGGGGACATGGAGGGGGTGCCCAAGGGCATCTATTGGGCGATTCTGACAGCATCTGGGATTGAAGTTTCTTCCTTTACTAGGGAGCTGTTATCTGTTCCCATTTTACAGATGAGGACATTAAGGTTTTAGAGCTGTTATCTGCTCCCATGTTACAGATGAGGACTCTGAAGTTTTAGAGCTGTTGTCTGCCCCATTTTACAGATGAGGACACTGAGGTATCGCGACCAGTCTAGGTCATTCATAGGTCAGTGACCTGCAGGGTGTTGGATTCAGCCAGATCTCAGTTCTCTCAGCCCTGCCGTTCACTCCTGTGTGTTCTTGGCCAGGTGCTTCACTTCTCTGAGCCTCAGTTGTCCCCTCTGTAAAGTACAAATAAGGCCTGCTTTGCCTGGTGAGTAGTGGTCAGGTGTGAGGCATGTGTTAGCAGCACTCAGTAGGCCGCAGCAATCCGTGTTACTAGTTGAGAGGCTGAAGCTGACTCCAGGCTGTTTTCCCATCCACTTTCCTGGGTGGGTGGGGTGAGGGGTGGGGACCTGCCATGTGCCAGGATGCCCTGGTCCCTGGGTCCATCGGCTGTAAACACAGGGGGTCCCAAAGCTGGGAGCCACCATCTGCAAGGGTAGAAAATGACTCAAAAACCTTATATGGGCATAAAAATAGTATTATACTAAATGAAGTGTTTATTATTATAATTTCTTATTTAATAATAATATACTATTGGTGGCGCAGTGGTTAACAGCTCAGCTGCTAAACAAAATGTTGGCAGTTTGAATCCACCAGCCACTCCTTGGAAACCCTGTGGAACAGTTCTACTCTGTCCTATAGAGTCGCTATGAGTCAGAATCGACTCGACGGCAAGTTTGGTTTTTGTTTTTTATTACTATAGTATAATATTATTATTAAAATTATATAAAATTGAGGTTATTCCATAAAATCCAGAATCTATCTTCCTTATAGGCATGACACCTGGAGGTTGGATATCACCGCTAGTTCCTTAACTCCCAGGAGAAATAACTGCACTCTAGAGTTTGTTAAAAGCAACAAGACTTTGGAAATTAAAGAGATCAACTACTTATTAACAGTGAGAGAGAGAGAGAAAGGGAGAGGTTTGCAAATGGGTAGTCAGTTCTAGAGGAACTGCTGTGATTACCATAAAGTGGTTTTTTGCTTATAGGACATTTACAATCTCGTGATAAGAGAAGGAATGTACAGTTGGGTTTTTTTTTTTTTTTTGAAGGTTATACAGTAGTGCAGAAGAACAAGTCACATAGAATACACAAAATCTTAGAGATACAGGTCTTGGGAAAAAGAAACTTTTAGGCTAAATATCTATCATCTGTTACTTCAAAGTGAGTTAAGGTCCTTGGGAAAACAAAAGGGAAATTCTTGAGGGATTAATGAGGTTAGTTTGCAGGGTATATTTAATGAGAAGACACCCAGAAGTCTTGGAGTGTTGTCCAGGTTTCTAGGGAATAGTTTAAGTTTAACAATCTCCTCAATCTCCTCCCTTTTCTCAATCTCCCCTTTGATCATGATCCTATCTATGATTTGTTTTCAACCTTATCAGTGGGCCAGGCACCATCATCCAGTGTTCAGGTGTCAATATATAGGATCAACAATCTAATAGGGCACATGTGTAGCTATACACTTGAGGTTGTCAGGAACTCCTCATTGCTTTTGTTCCTCTAGTCGAAGGGAGACCAGTTGATGCATCCTGGATGGCCGCTCGCAAGCTTTTAAGATCCCAGACATTGCTCAGTGAAAGGCAAGATAGAGAATAGCCAAGAGGCTTAGGTCAATTGTTTGAAACCCCTGTCGAAACCAAGTTCCCGTATCATTAAATCAAGAAAATAAGTCGCAAGGAAGATTAGGTTTAAAATAGGCACTATTGGCTGTGGCCCTGGCATGGGCCTCAGCTATAACAACATCTTGATAGACTTTAGCATGAGTGCCATTGATATATATAGAACATTGATTATCAACCATGGCATAGACACCACTTTGAAAGGCTAACATATAATTTAAAGTTAACCTGTTTTGTAAAATCATTTCATGTAAAATTTGCAATTCTCAGGAGACGTCATTATAGCAGATTTTAACCGTTGTACTAAATCCTATAATTCTAAATCAATTTTTTCCCCTAATAATTTTTTTCTAATGAACGACATACCAATACCAGATCCATAGGAATGGATCTTACAGTTGAGCATCCAAATAAGGTTTTTCAGTTAAGGGCCTTTTAGCATTAAAGGCCAAAGTCTACAGACAAAATAATGTCCTTTTAGAGCAAAGAAAGGCTTAATATTAAAGTTTATAGAAAGAAAGTTAGTTTGACACCATAATTTAGAATACAATCTAAGTGGAGCTGTGTAACCATTTAAATTTTAGATAATTCATCAATTTTAGTTTTATTAAGCCAGCAGTTATCCTAGGGGAAGAAATGACTTGAAGGGTTATTTGATCATTCTGAATTAAAGGTGGATAAGTATCTCTGAAGGGGAATGAACCTCAGTATACAGTGCTTGTATTATGAAAATAATAACTTTTAATATGTTAATTAGACACTGACTCGTCTATTTTATATCCCTTAGTCCCTTGCGAGTGAAACACCACGGTCCGTGAGTGGACTTAGTTATGTCATCATCCCAATGGTTAGGACCCCTGCGTCTAAAAGAAGTTATCATTCCAAAAGGTGAAGCGGGGGGTCCACTTGAATGAATATATTGCGCAGTAATGGTCATTTCTTTTTCTAATGTCGAAGGAACAAGTAACAAAGAAATTCTAGACTGAGGGCTAAGTGAAGTCTTAGCATGCATCCAGAATTAGTCTGATCTGTTTGCTTAGCCATATGATAAGTTAAAGAAAAAAAAGTATTTAGTTGTGAAGTAAAATACGTAGGTGATACACACAAGAAAAACAGCAAAAATAATATTTCTGGAAAATATTATCTAGTTTTAGCTACTCCCAATGTTAAGTCACCGTGCAGACGTTAAGTCCAAGAGTTTGATGGGGCCATTTAAGTTGAGAACTATGGAACCAGGGTTCAATTCTTTAAAGCTTAATCGTGTGGCAGGATGAGGAGAACTTGGTATGATCCTTTTCAACAAGGTTCGAGGGGCTGTTGCAAAGGTGCCTCTTTTAGTAACCCAACCTCTCAATTCCAATTTATGGGCTGAGCATCTGTTAGAAGAGGGTTCAGCAAGGGTGTGTTGAATCTGTGAAAGATACTTTTTTGCCCATGTCATTAGATATTTACAATATTGAATCATACCATGATCTTTAATAGTGACGTTTCAGAAGACTGAGAGGCCTTTTGGTCCCACCCTTGCATATGTTCTCAATTATCTTTGGAACCACGCCTTTACTATATCGAGTGCGCAGCACGGTTCCCTCCCATTTTTATTTTTTTCTATCCCCTCTTTATTATTACAGCTGTGACTATGTTGTCACTCAGTTATTTTGGTGGGGCAGTTATCAGAGCATTTTAGAGAGGAGGGCCTTTAAGGTCTCTTCAAGGCCTCTCAGCAAAGCAGTCCTGAAGGGCTTTTTATTTTTTTCTTTTGCAGTTTTAACTCTTGCTTTGTGCTGGGTATTTCGGGTGTTTTCAGCTCTGAGTAGTGGCTAGGGGATTGCTCCCTTAGCTCTTGAACCCCTCAGTTTTGGTAACCAAAACCACATCTCTTTGTGTGTTGGTCCCGCTTCTTTCTTTCCCCTTTGGCCTTTCAGGTGAGGCTTCCTGATGCCAGGTTTCCGTCTGTCCAGGCTTCTCGGTGGAAATGGCTGACACCACCGTGTTGTTTCTATTCTAAAGTGGGGTTTTGCAGTGGGGCTACTTCACAGCCTTTCTCATCGCCATACGAGGACCCAGCAATGAAGGCGGGGGGTTTACTGAGGAGGGTCCTAGCACGTGAAAGCCTCCAGTGCTCTCTGTGACAGACAGTTTCAACATCAGGTGTGGCGGCAGGGCCACGAAGCCAGGCATCTATGGCCTTTGCGGAGAATGCCGTGATGGCTTTATCCATGGTTTGGAACACAGTCACAGTTCTTAGTCTGCAACAATCCAGACCAAGAGGGTCTGTAAAGGTCTCTCATTAAACAAAGGCATCAGTCAGCTTGAGGAGACTCCCTTGGATTCTGCTCATATCTGTCCTTTAGTTTAGACCTCATTGAATAGTTTTGTTTTTAGCAACATCCAGTCTGCAAGTAGCCTAGACTGTATGGAGCTCCCTGCACGGTGGCTCCAGATTCCCCTTGGTGTCATCTCTGTGACTGCTGAGACACCACGGGAGAAGTGGGGGACATGGAATCATGAGAGCAGCCTTTGTTTTCAACCACCTCACCAGTTTATCTTTGCCAGCAGGGAGATTACTGTCATCCCATTTATCCCCATCTGGCTAGAGGGAGCCAGTACTATTGCTGGTTTATCACTCTCGGGAGAGCCTGCATCATCCTGGAATGAGTAAAGCGGCCAGCCCATGCGTTTCCATCAGGCCGCCGAGTCTTTCTGGTGACGCTGTTTGCTGGTTATGTTTTCTCCTCTAAGCATAGGGGCCTTTCTGGTGACTAACCATACCAGTGAAAAAGCTTACCAGGAGCAGAACTGATTTGTATATGTCTTATCCCTATAGCTGGAAACTCTGGTGGCGTAGTGGTTAAGAGCTACGGCTGCTAACCAAAAGGTCGGCAGTTCGAGTCTACCAGCCGCTCCTTGGAAACCCTATGGGGCAGTTCTACTCTGTCCTATAGGGTTGCTATCAGTTGGAATTGACTTGACAGGGCGGGGTTGGGGTGGTATCCCTACAGGGGCTTGTTTCATATGCTAGTCTGAGACTTGTCAGTGGCCAGATCAAACAGCCAGGCTATTAGCTATAGCCTATGTCATAGTTGCCCGTGTGCCCCATTCCAAATGGCTGTAACTGCAGCAATTCTCATCAGGGCTTGGAGGCAAAAGCTTACGGAGGTGTACTTTAATATATCAGCATTATTAATACATACAGTAGAGGTTTGTAGGGGCCCTGAAGGGGCTTATCCATAGTCAGGCTAGCGCAAGGGTCCTGGTGATAGTGACCTTAAACCCAAAAGAAAGGAGAAAGCATTATCTGTTTTTTTCCTGATCTTGGTGTCAGGTGTTACAAAGATCAGCTGTGCATTGGGATCTACAAGCCCAGGAAATACAAGTCTTTTGTGTCCTCATTGAACTTTAATTTTGGCATAGCCAAACATTTTATTTTAAGATAAAACTATTTTTTCCCTAAAAATTTGTCAGTCAATTTGCCTTTTCTTTTGCCTTTTAGGTAAAGCTAACATTTTTAATAAAAATTTTGAAGATGTATTCTTTTAATAGTTTAAAATACCTTCCACCAGTTTTGCGATTATAGTCATTGTCTTTAATAGTTTAGGGCAGTTTGGCCACAATTGGCCCCTGTTTATTTTTCATGTTTGCTTTTCTTTTTAAAAGATTATTATAATCTGGGAGCCCCAAACAGTGTAAAATCTCTTTGAATTAAAAACGTTCTCTCATTTCTGCTGACAGACTAAGGTGCCGAGGTGGAGAAATTTATATAAAAGGGGCAGCTAATAGAATAATTTGACATCCAGAGTCTGCAATGTATGAACATGTTTCCCTAAAGATGTGTAAGCATCAACGATAAAACTTCAAATACGGTCATATTCCGGCATAACAGAATGGGACAATGCATAAAAAAAGGCATTTTAAATATTTTATCTCCTATTTCTATGCCTATTGTTTTGTCTCCAGTAATTGCACTGCTCATGGTCACCGAGTTTCATGTTATAAACAATCTGAAGCTGCTGTAGCAAAGTTAACCTTACTAGCCTTTCATTTCGTATCTTAGACATTTCTTTCATTTTCTGAGGCAGAATCTGAGCCCTGATTTTCATATATTATTAAATCTATTAACTTTTAAATATTCTTAGATTTTCAGTCCGCCCCACTGCCTTCTGACTCTGACGCCACGACTCTTACAGCTCTTTCTTACAGCTCTTTCTTAATTCCGTATCTATTTATTTTAACTCTTTCCTTTCACTCTTGCTTTGGTTATGGTCCATCTTTTCTTCACTTGCGCAGACCTTCTTTCTGGTTATCTCTGGTCCTTCAGCTACTTACATAGATCTTCCTTTATTTCAATCTTTATTTTTGCCTTTCTGACCCCAGTTCTCTCTGAGCTGTATAAAAACTTTTTTTCCCCCTTAAATTATCTCTCTTCTTTTGATCTTGAATACAAATTCGGAAAAAACAAGAGTTTAACAGGAGGTAGGAAATAATCATAAAACCTTGGAAACTGTTTTATCTTCCAGCCTGGAGTTTATAGACTCTTCTTTTGATTTATTTTTATGTTTCTTGTCTATGTTTTTAAATTTTGTTCACTAAAAAATTAAACTATCTTAAGATAGGTTTAAAGTTTTAAAATTGAATGCTTTTAACTGGTTTGTAAACACAATTTATTTTCCTTTTATTATAACTTACTATCTAAACCATCTTTTCTCAGCTCTCTGAGTTTCTTTTTCTTATCGTTTACGGCCCACTCAAAATGTTAACTAGCTGAAATATTCCCTCTAAAAGGGCAATTTCCCGTTTAAGTTTATGTTTGTTTGTTTTTATAAAATAGCTGTTAGATCTTAATCCATCAAGAATACCTGCTGTGATTTTTTTCATAATCTCAATCAAATTCATTTTCTTTTTTTGTTATTGTTTACAAAATTGGATCCTTAGCAGTTAATGTTTTAGATATTCATTTGCTTTCTGCAGAAAGTCTTTTTTAAGGAGGCTATTTTAAATTTATTAAATTTGTTTGTGACCTTGGAATATCAGTTAAAATCAGCCTTCCATTGGGGCTGTCTAGTTTTAGTACCGCGGTTTTTCTTTTTTTCTAATTTGCTGTGTAAATGAACAATATTATCTAAGAAGAATGAGCTTTATTGAGGCTGCTGCAGTTCCAAATCATCCTTAGTTAAGTTGGTCCAAAGATCTAAAGAAACTGCAAGTCTGAGGACTGAATATAATGGCAGGCGTCCATGATGAGGGAAGTAGGGGAGCTCCAAATTCTTGTCTCCAAAACAACAAACAACCCATTTGATTAACATGCGGGAGGGATGCCTAGCAACCCATTTTCAGAATCCATGGATCCCATTATCTTGAGTAGCTCAAATTTTGAAATTGAGACTGCTCCGTGAAACCTAGCTTCATTTTTGACCAGTCACAGTGACCGCAGTGACCTAGTCCAGGAGAAAGACCCCAATTCCAAACCCAGTCCAAGAGAAAGAATTCAATGCCAGACTCACTCTGGGAGAAAGACCTCAGTACAGGACCCAATCTCAGGGGAAGACCTCAATACCAGACCCAGTCCAGGAGGAAAGATTCAATGCCAAGTTCAATGCCAAGTTCAATGCCAGACCTAGTCTGAGAGAAAGATAAACAGTTAATCCCCAGTGAGCTGTGCCGCAAACAGAGCAGAGCTCGGCCTGGGAGTTTATTTACTCTAAGGACCCCAGACATCTGGGGGAAGCAGAGAGCTGAAAATAGCTCGCAGGATCATTGCCTGTTACCAGAGGGCCAGGGTCATCAGGGTCAGAAATTCTGGATCCCACTTCTGACACTAGAACTTGTAAAAACAACAAAACATTGACGAAGAGATCAACTATTTATTTATTAAGAGTGAGAGAAAGAGAGAGGTTTGCAAATAGGCAGTCAGTTCTATAGAAACTCCTGCAATTATCACAAAGCAGATTTTTGCTTATATGTAATTTACAATCTCACGATAAAAGAAAGAATGATGTACAGTTGGGGTTTTTTTGAAGGTTATACAGTAATATAGAAGAACAAGTCACGTGGAATATACAAAATCTTAGAGATATAGGTCTTGGGAAAAAGAAACTTTTAAGCTAAGCATCTACCATCTCTTGATGGTAGATGAGGCTGGTTTGCAGGGTTATGTTTGATGATAAGACACCCAGAAGTCTTAAAGTACTGTCCAGGCTTCTGGGGAGTTGTTTAATTTTAACAAGTTCTGGGCACATACTAAGGCCAGCTCTGTGCTTGCTGAGTTCATGCCACAGAGCTGTGTTTGGCCCTGTGGTTTGTAAACTTGGCAAGCCCTGGAGGCCGCAGGCCCCCTTCCCAGGTCCACACCCCCAGCCACTGGAGTTGCAGGATGGTGGAGAGGACAGGTTGGGGGTGGAGGCTGCAGCTGATGCCCAGGATTCAGTGGGTGCCTACTGTGTGGGCAGGTCGGGAGAGCCCAGGCAGTCTCGGGGTTTGAATCCTGGCTCAGCCACTTAGGAGCTGCTAACCCTAAGCCTCAGGTATCTCATATTTAAATGGAGCTAATTATACCCACCACATACTGGCTGTTGCAAAGATTAAATGAGAAAAGCCTGGCCTATAGGGAATATTCAGTAAATGAAAGCTAACTATTAACGGTTACCCAAGGTTAACCCGTGTGTGGCCCTGGAGGAAGCAATGTTCTTTGGAATCATTGTCTTGAGTGCTTAAAAACATTTTAAACAGGGTATATGCAGATAACTTTTATACCTATAGTTGTTTGTATATCTTGAGGATGATGGAATCATTTAGTATTCTTGTGGGTGTCATAGTTTCCATGTTATCAACTTGTATCTTCTTGGGAACACTTTACGGACTTTTCAGCTACTTCAACCAGCTATCTCTCTTCAAAATATAATTAGAATTAAATCAAGCATGTGTTTAGTTCTACTTGTACTTCGGGGACAGCTAAATGGGTCATGAGCAAGTGACCCCCTCTGTGGCTGGAGGAGGTGGTCAGGGAGGGTGGGCTTCCTGCCTCCTCAGCAGCCCTCTTCCCCTGCCCCGCACGCAGCTCTTCAACAGGGAGCTGTGCCTCCAGCAGCTGCGCTACTCAGGCATGATGGAGACCGTGCAGATCCGCAAGTTGGGCTTCCCCATCCGCTACACATTCGAAGAGTTCTCGCAGAGGTTCCAGGTCCTGCTGCCAAGTGCCGTGAGGGTGCAGGTGCGTGCTCAGACCCCACCTCCTCTGCTGTCCTGAAGGAGATGCCATGCCACCTCTGCCCCGGCTAATTCTTCCCTTCCCTCCTGCCTGCCGGTGCCCTCCATCCCCCAGTTTCAAGGTCCTTCCACTACCCTCCTGATGCCCAAGGCCCCATTTAGGTCCACCTTCCTGGGGCACCAAGCTTTGAAATTACCCTTGTTCTTCCTCCCCCTTCTCAACTCATCCGTCCTCATTTCTTAACTCCTCGTTGCCAGTACAGTGAAGGAAGGGCTAGCCATGTGGTCTGGACCACTGCTAGTGGCTAAGTATGTTCTTTCTAGGAGGTTTTTGCATTTTCAGAGCAAACACTCTCTCTTAAATGGTAGGCTGCTGGGGGATGATGTGTGCTGGGGAGCTATTAGGGACAGGAAGTCCTCATGTTCTTCCTCAAACACTCAGTCATCTGACAGTTTGGTCTCATCAAGGGCCAACTGTCCAACACCCCCATGGAGGGCCCAGGCCCTGAAAGCACTGAAGCCCAAGTGCCCATCTTATCCCTGGGGCTGGGTACCCCATCTCAGCCCTGCCATTGATCAGGTGCCCGCTTGTGCCTGTGCCCTGGTCAAGCAGACTCTGACTGGGAAGTTTATGACAGGAGAAAGATATGGGTACATCCGAGAACCTTGAGGAAGACCCAGTCCCCAGAGCTGGCAGAGGAGTCTCCTCATCCTGCCCCTGGATTTGCCTATGTGATGGCCTAGCATAGTGAACCTTTGGCCCTACCGTAGCAGAAGCCCCTTCATGTGAAGACAGCAGATGAATCACGGCAAGCACAGACTCTGACTGAGAAGGAGGAGAGGTTAGCTGATGGGCACCATGGGTTACTTCATCCATGTCTGGACTAGTGACAGGATCTTTACCCCCAAAATCAGAACTGCACTCAGATCTCAGGTCTTCAATCTCATTGGGGAAAATCCTCAGAGGTTACACTTATGCCGGACCCAGCACTGAGGCCTGGAGACTCCAGGGCAGGCTCCAGTTGCACTGACCCACTCTGTCTCCTTGGCAGCTGCGACACAAGTTCCACCAGATGACCCTGCGTATTGCTGACATGTGGCTGGGAACAGACAAAGACTGGAAAATGGGAAAGACCAAAATTTTCCTGAAGGTGAGACCCCGAGGAACTTGCGACCCCCAGATCCTGGTGTGCATGTCAGGTCTGGGCCCTGGCAGGCAGTCCTCACCCACTTGGTCTGAGCCAGAGTCACAGGGCACCCCAGCTGAAGAAAACCATGCCTTGGGGAGTTAGGTGTACCAAGGGGAGCCCCTAGGAGGGGTGCAGAAGGGTTCAGGCTAGCCTGAAGAAATCTGGGAGGCCTTCTCAGAGAGCTGCAAGACTGAGGATGAGGATGAGGTACCTGTGAGTCACAAGGCAAGAGTGAAGAAGAGCCCAGGAAGGCCTCCCAACACCCTGGAGCCCCAGTCCTCTAAGGGGCCTGGAGAAGCTCAGCCTCCCTAGAGCCCGGGAGAGGTGGTGCTTAAGTGGAGCCCCATATCGAATCCTAGATGAAGTGACTGCAAAGGCTCCCCTTGCTTCCCCCATCCCCCCACCCTCTAAAACAAGTCCTGTGGGGGCACATCTTACAGCAGTCTTGTGTGCACATCACCCACCCACCACCACCAACAACAATGACAACTACTTACAGGGAGGGCTGAGGCTGCAGCAGAGGCAGCCTCAAGGCCAACAGAACCCTAAGACTGGCTCCAGCCTCTCCAAGGAGCACCAGTTTTGGGGAGGGTGGTCAAAGAGCCACCTGGGAGAGAAACTCCGTGTCCCCTAGGCCTTGGGTGGGGTGAGCAAAGGAGAAGGATGAGGAAGAGGAGGTCACTCTGCCAACTCACCTGACCACCGCCCCCAACCTCATCTCCACCCTCGCCTTCATCCAAGGTGGTCAGAAGAAGGACGGAGGAGAGGGGCTTGCACTGGGCGTTTAGAGGTGACAGGCTTTAGGGAGCCATCTGGGCACCTTTGCTTCCATGGCCTGGGGATGCCCATCTCTCTGTCCCTCCCCATTCCAGCCCAGCTGCTCTTTGGGGCTACAGCAGGTATCTGGTCCATGTCTGTACCCCCAGTGCCCGCCCAGGGGCTGCATATGAAGAGGATCAATGCCTGCTGGCTTCCTGGAGGCAGGAAGGGCATGTTGCTCTGTGTTAAACAAAGTCTATGGCCTGTCCTCAGCCCCTGCCTTCCAGAAGCTGAGATGGCAGGCCTGTGCCTCTCATCCCAGGGCCGGGGACCAGAGGGAGAACAGCCAGTCACGGCCCAGGGATGTATAGGCTTATCCTCTCACAAGATGAATCTTCTCATGTTTATATTGAAACAAGCAAGGGTCTATTATACAGTAGAATGCAAATTTCACATGAATTTGGGGAAATAAATAATAATTCCAGGGAAATTTTGTGCCCACAGGGGACTGCTTCATGCTCCCACTTCCCCAATTCTCCAGAGCAGAAAGAAGGTTGCTAGACTGAATTAGCAAGAAGAAAGAGTTGAAATGGGAAGTTCTTGGATGAAGGTGGGGGTTGTAGCTGGCAGCTATCTTCCCTGAGTCACATCAGAATCAAATTGAGGGCCCCTTCCTCCTACTTGCCCTCGTGGGGGCATGTGCAGGAGAAGTTTGAGAGGCACTGGCTTTGGAGAGAGAGCTGGCCCCAGGCAGGGGTATGGGTGAGGGTTGGGCAACTTTCTGATGGATCTCCTGCCTGCAGGACCACCAAGACACTCGGCTGGAGATTCAGAGGAGCCAGGCCCTGAATACTGCTGCTCTCAGCATCCAGAAGGTCCTTCGGGGCTACAAACACAGGTACCAGCACCACCCTGCCCAGCCCCCCCCCCCAGTCCTCTGCAAAACAGGGCCACATGCTCTCCCTCTGGTCCCTCCCTGGGGTAACTGCAGCACAGGACCCTCCAGGACCCCTGGCCTGCACTGCAGCCTGTGCTGGCCAGGGAATTCTACTTCATTATTTGATTATGATATGCCTTGGTGATTTTCTTTTGAGGTCTATCCTATATGGAGCTCAGTGAGCTTCTTGAATGGCCACCTTTTCATCTTTCATGATATTGGGGAAGTTTTCTGTCAGCAGTTCTTCAATGATCCTCTTTGTGTTTTCTGCTTTCTCCCAGTTTTCTGGAACTCCAATCACTCGAAAATTTTTGCTTTTGATTGTATACCACATAATTCTCAGGGTTTCTTAATTTTTCTTTGTTCTTTTTTCTGATTTTTCCTCAAACAGAGTTGTATCCAAGTGTTTGTCTTCAATTTCGCTAACCCTGTCTTCCATTGTTTCAAACCTGCTCCTCAGCCCTTCTATGCACTGTCCATTTCTGAAATTTTGTTTATCTTTTGGGATTTGATTATTTGAAGGGGGGAAAACAACCACTTCACTATGTAGCAAGAGAAGTGAGCCAAAGGAGGCATTGGCTCTAGTCTCAACTACATTTGTATCTTCAATAGCCTTAGACAGTGTGTAGGTTTGGGTTTAGGAGGTGGTTTGGTTTTTGGAGAGGGAGAAAATCCAACTAACTTTGATTCTGTTCCCTGGTCAGTAAGAAGGTAATACTTGAATCTCATTCAGAGATTCAACCTCACCCACCCTCTCCACGTCCAGAGGGCCCTCAGTGTCCCTGTACCCTGAGTTCTCCCATCTGCTTATCACCAGCCATAGGAGGTATGGAAGCCCAGATATGACAACACAGGAGTTGAGCATGTGGCAGGGCCATGAGGCAGGAAGGGGCTCCCACTTAGGCCCACGTGCTGGAGAGGCATCTTGCCTGCTGGGAACCATGGTAACAGTGACCTCAGACTGCTACCAGCACCACACTGAGCAGTTGTGTGCAACAAGAGCGCCAACAGTGGTGCCCCCACCACTGATAAAGTTTTTCAGTCATTTTATTTTGAGATAGATTATAGATTTACATGCATTAATTTTTTGTGTTTATAGTGAAAATACATACAACAAAATTCAACAATTTCTACATGTATAATTCAGTGACATAGATTACATTTTTCATGTTGTGCAACCATTACCACTATCCTTTCCAAATTATTCCTCCACCATTAACATAAACTCAATGCCCACTAAGCAAAACATCTCCCTTTCCCCTTCCCTCCTATCCTGGGTAACCACTAAAAATATTTGGTTTCTATATATTTGATTATTTCATATAAGTTACATCATACAGTATATGTCCTTTTGTGACTGACTTCTTTCACTCAGCATGATGTTTTCAAGGTTCCTGCATCAGGACTTCATTTCTCTTTATGGCTGAGTAGTATTCCATTGTGTGTATACACCCCATTTTGTTTATCCATTCATCTGTTAATGGACGTTTAAATTGTTTCCGCCTTTTGGCTGTTGTGAAAAGTGCTGCAATGAACATTGGTGTACAGGTTTCTGTTTGTGTTCCTGCTTTCACTTGTTCTGGGTATATACCCAGGATTGGAATTGCTGGGTCATACGGTGTCTTAGTTATCTAGTGCTGCTATAACAGAAATACCACAAGTGGATGGCTGTAACAGAGAAATTTATTTCCTCACAGTAAAGTAGGCTAGAAGAAACTGGCTCAAGACACAATCCAATCCTGTAGACTGAGTCCTGCCTCTTCAACACAACTGCCACCCATCCCCCCTCATTAACATCATAGAGACAGGATTTACAACACATAGGAAAATCACTTCAGATGACAAAATCGTGGACAGTCACACATTATTGGGAATCATGGCCCAACCAGATTGATATACACATTTTTGGAGGACACAATTCAAACCATGACATAGGGTAATTCTGTGTTCAACTTTCTGAGGAACGCTGAACTGTTTTGCACAACAGCTGTACCATTTTACATTCCCACTAGAAATGGATGAGAGTTCCAGTTTCTCCACAACCTTACCAACACCTGTTGTTTTCTGGGTTTTTTGTTTGTTTGTTTTTTATCATTGCCATTCTAATGGGGATGAGATGATACCTCATTGTGGTTTTGATTTGCATCTTCCCAATGACTAATGACAATAAGCATCTTTTCATGTGCTTGTTAGCCATTCAAATATTCTCTTTGGTGAAATGTCTGTTCAAGTCCTTTGCCTAGTTATTGATTGGGTTATTTGTCTTTTTGTTGTTAAGTTGGAGAAATTTTACATATATTTTGGATATTAGACTCTTATCAGATTTATGGTTTCCAAACATTTTCTCCCAGTCTGTAGGTTGTCTTTTCACTATGTTTATAAAGTTCTTTGATGAAAAAAGTATTTGTTATGAAGTCCCCTTTATTTTGTCTTTTGCTGCTTCTGCTCTCATTGTCATATCTGATAATCTATAGTTAAAAACTAGGTCCTACAGCCATGCCTTATATTTTCTTCTAGGAATTTTATTTTAATTTTCACATTTAGATCCTTGATCCATTTTGAGTTTTTTTTTTGTGTATGGTGTGAGACAAGGATCATTTATTCTTCTGCATGTGGAAATCCGATTTTCCCAACAACATTTATTGAAGAGACTCTTCCTTTCTCTGCTGATTGGATTTAGCACGCTTGTTGAAAATCAGTTGACCATGGATTTATCTCTGGACTGTCAATGTCATAGCCAAAAATTTTTTCCCAGTCTGTC